CGAGGCCTTAAGACTTACTTGTTTATAGGAAAACGTGTTGGTCATTTGTAGTAAATACAGTCAAATAACAATAAAAGTGGTTGAAAAACTGTTGAGTTAGTGCTCTTTTCAAGGTAACAACAGTAATGACAGGTTCTCGAGCTATGTTTGCGGAGTCTCAGAAATGTTCAGAGTCGTAAATTTTAAACAACTTACTCTCTTTATTGTATTACTCATTTAGAGTGCCTAGTGGGTATGAATAATCAGTTTCACTTATTTGTTTTTACTTAGGATCAGTTTCATTTTCTTTTATATATCATTGAATCAAGTCTGTAGTGAGTATTTGTTAAGGTTTAAGGCCAGTTGTTTTGTTTACTTACGCATAATTAAAGCCAAGGTGGTGTCTTAATAAGGCGGGTGAGTTTTTCTCTTCAAACGGAAATGCTCCAAGAACGTGTATTACATTGTTTATGAAGTAGAGTGTAACAGTTTCTTTTTAAATGTGTTGCGATTATTATCTCAAGGTATGTAGAGTGCTACACTGTTTAAATGGCGACATTGTTTTTAAAATGAAATAAAAATGCATTCTAGCATTTGGTCACCAAAAAAGACAAATAATATAGAGGACTGGGAGTTTTAAGACTTTCTGGGAAAAGATTGTTCTTAAAGTAAAGGAAGTGCATGTGAAGTCAGTTTGTTTAATTCTTCCACAGACGTCCAACTTTGATTCATATGATCTTGTTATGTTTTTTTAAAAATCTTTTGTAATATTTTGTATATCATCAAAAGATGCTGAAAGACATTTTAACTTCATTTAAGTAGTTAATTAAAGTCCTTATATTTATAACAGTATATTTAGAGACATTATTGAATATGTAACCATATGAATCCTAAACTTTTACACACATTATTTGGCTTCAAGAAAACTTGTTTTGTAGTGGATGGAGTTTAGTTTGATTCCTGATGATTTTAGGGTAAGACCTAATTGGCTAAATGTGCAAACAAAGAAGAATAAGTGTTTTTAGTTTTATTTTTTTCCTGAAATTATAATGCTATCTAGTTATTAATGACTTGTGTTTTCCTTAAGTCTTTTTTATTTAAGAGGATTTTTTTCCTATCACAAAGGTAACTGGAGCAAGTTAAAATTGTTTTTTCTTTGTCAATTGTTAACGATTGTCCTGAAGGTATTTCCTAGAAATATCAGTATTTTTGCTGCTATTCAATTATAAATAAGGCTGGATAAACTTTTTATTATTCTATTTTGGATTTTTTAATTTCTTTCCTCCTTTCCCTCTTTTGCTTTCTTATTCCTGTCCCCATGATTTTTTGTAATCTCTTTTCACTGTTAGGTGAAGAAAATATAAACTTTATTTGGGTGATATGGCTCAAATTTCTTCCTGGATAAGAGTCATTTATCTTTAATTGACTTAAAGTTTCAATTCATTTTTTTCTTAGTTTATTAAGATCTAATTACTTGGGCCAGCAGGTGGCATGGTGGTTAAGGGCTCTAGACTCCCACATGGCTGACTGCAGTTTGAGTCCAAGACCTGGCAGCTTGCTTTCTTGCTTTCTCTCTCTCACTTTGTCCTTCTCTTGTCAAATTTAAATAAATAAATACATAAATATTCAGTAAAATAATTCTTTAAAAAAATCTAATTACTATCTGCTTTTCTATTTCCATATAAGGTTCCCCAAACTTTAAGATTATGCCTTTTCAGTGACAATCTAGCCATAATTAAAAATTACAAAGCACAAAATTGAGGCTTTCAAAATCAAACAGGGGCCAGCAGGTGGTGTAGTGGTTAAGGCACTAGACTCCCACAAGGCTGATCACTCACTGTTCAAGTCCTGGATCTGGCAGCTTGAAAATCATGCTGAGCACATGTGCCTGTATATCCAAAATCTCAGGAGAATGGAGAAGAAGGGATTGCAGCGTGGCTATCCCTCCTGAGGGAGAATTTCTCACTTTTCCTCTCACTGTCTGTCTCCTAGGAGCATACAGCCCCTATGGCAAAAACCTTAAACAAAAAAACCAAGCAAACAGCGCTGGCTGGTGGCCTATAGGTTAAGGGAGCTGGATCCCTCAAGGCTCACTGCATGGTTTGAATCCTAGCCATGGTGGCTTGAAAACCACGCTGGGTGCATGTCCATGTGTGCACCAAATCCTGATAGGTTGGGCAAGTGGAAGAGAGGGGATTGAATTGTGACCGTGCACCATGGGATGCAGGGTGTACTTTCTCCTCTCCTTCTCTCTCTTTCTCTCCTAGCAAATTGCAGCCAGCCATGTGGGATCCAGCTCCCTTAATTACTAGGCTACTGGGCCGGTCTTGCAATATTGAATATTTTTAAAATGAAATTTAAAGACTGTTTCGACCACGGAATAAATGAGATATTGTATATAAGTCACTTAAGCATAAACTGGTGCTAAAAAGAAATTATAGTGACTTTCTGTTTCCAGAATTTGTTCATTTGTTTGTTTAACACATGTATGGGAAGCTTCCTGTAGATAAGTAAAATGACTGGAGTAAATGTTGAAATACTAACATAGAAATCAGTGTAACTGGGGCTGGCAGGTAGCGTGATGGTTAAGGTGCTGAACTCCCACATGGCTGACTGGTTTGAGTCCTGGATCTGGCAGCTTGCTTTCTCACTCTCTGGTCAAATTAAAAATCAACAATAATAAATTAAATTAATTATTTTTTTTTTTAAAGAAATCAGCACAAGGGTGCTGTGGGGGCTTTTAAAAATTTTTTTCCTTTTTTGGAGAGGTTTTTGCTATAGGGTGCATGCACTTGCCAGAAAGACAGAGAGAGATGGAAAGATAGAAAATGAGAAATCACCCCTCAGGGGTGATGGCCACACTGCAACCCCTTCTCCTCCATTCTCCTCTTGGGATCTTGGGCATGCATGCACACGTGCCCGGTGTGAGTTTAAGCCACCTGGTCTGGGACTCGAACCATGGTCGACTACATGGGAGTCCAGTGACATAGCCATTACGCTAACTGCTGGTCCCATGTGGGGGCTTTTTTGAAGGGGTTTCTAACCCAGGCTTAGGGCACAGGAGTTGTCAACAAACTGTTCCAAAGGAAATAAATTCTAAAGTGAGAGTAGAAGTGTTAGTGGTCAGAGGTGGAAGGATGGAAAGAGTAGGTAAAAAAGAGCATGAGCCAGGGACCAGCAGATGGTGTAATGATTACATTGCTGTACTCCCACGGAGTTGACTATGGTTCAAGTCCCAGACCCAGTAGCTTAAAACTCCCTCCGGGCATGTGTGCATACATGCCCAAAATCCCAGGAGGAGACTGGAGGAGAAGGGACTGTAGTGTGGCCATCCCCCTGGGGGATGATTTCTCACTTCTTGCCTCTGTCTCTCTCTGGTTAGCACACAAACCTATAGCAAAATCTTTAGAAAACAAAACAAAACAAAAAAACATGAGCAGAGTCCAGAGAGATCAGGGACTATGCCTGAACTCAGTCTGGCAGGCTTTAACATGGAGAGTGAGCAGAAGTTACTAGGTCACACAGTGCCAAGTAAGTTATTAGATCTTGTGCTGTGAGTATCCTGGACACTCCTGAAAGGTTTTCTACAGAGGAGTGGCCCATCTAGATTTGACTGCCATTGGCCAATTTCAGAAACATTCCTAAAAGTACTGTTGATCTGATGGTATAGCCAGAAGGAAACCTAGCTCCAAATCTTGGATCTGGCTCCTAGTCTCAGTCACTAGCTGGGGTTACAGTTGCTTCATTTTATTGATTATGTGGGTTCTTTCTAATCTTTCATAGATTCCTTATGAAAATTAAGCAGGTTAGTGTACATTGTTGAATTAATGCAATACCCACCACAGAAAATGCTCAATTACTGGTAGCCCTAAGATTTTAAAATAGGGTTCAGAGAAAAAGTTTATTAACCACTTTGTAACATATTTGTGTTCAAGTTTGATGGCAGTAATGCCCTATGGGTTTCATTTAAAATGTCATGCATATCATATAAACGAGCCTCTTTAGAAAAATGGGTTTGTGTTGAAGGTGAGACTTTATATAGTAGTAATTTTTTAAAAATGGAAGGAATATATTTCATAACAATGTCATTTTGTTTAAGCTCAAATATTAAAGCTAGGGAACCAGCAGTTAGCGTAATTGGCTATGTCGCTGGACTCCCACGTAGTCGACCACGGTTCGCGTCCTGGACCCGGTGGCTTAAAACTCATGCCGGCCGCGTGTGCGTGCATGCCCAAGATCCTGAGAGGAGAATGGAGGAGAAGGGATTGCGGCGTGACCATCCCCCATGGGGGGTGATTTCTCGCTTTCTGTCTCTATGTCTCTCTCCAAAAAAAAAAAAAAAAAATATATATATATAAAAGCTAGATTTTCTTTTTCTATATTTGAGACTTTTTCTCTGAAAAATTATATACAAATTGAAAATGTAAAAAAATAATTATTTAATTCCATTTGTTGCTGTTATTGTTGTTATTATTACTATTATTATTGCTATTAAATTTGACCAGAGAGAGACAGAGAGAAAGCGAAAGTGAAAAAGAAAGCTGCCAGGTCTGGGACTTGAACTGTGATCGGCCATGTGTGAATCCAGCACCTTTAACCACCACGCTACCTGTTGGCTCCTACAAATTGGAATTTTAATCAGATGTATTAGTACCTATAAAGTTTCTAGCTTTACCCAGTAGAGAGAGGCTTGAAGAGAGAGGTACTTAGTAAATGCATAGAATTAAAAATTGAGGAACCTGATTATAAACAGAAACTTTTGGGAGCATGGAATAGAATAAGATGTTCTAATGAAATACTTCATTGAAGATTTTAAAAATTGTGTACACGTTCAGATTATCATGATGCTAAATGGAAATTATTTTTAAAATGTTAGAAAATGCTATTGCTTTAATATTTGGGTGGTTTGTTTGAAATAAGTTTTAAATTGCTGGAATAATTTTCCAAGATCTAATGGTAGGATAGATAGATTAGTTTTCTCACCTTATGAAACAAATGTATATTTTTTTTGTCTTTTGCAGAGTTGAACAATGACCATAGTTGACAAAGCTTCTGAATCTTCAGACCCATCAACCTATCAGAATCAGCCTGGCAGTTCTGAGGCAGTCTCACCTGGAGACATGGATGCAGGTGCTGCCAGCTGGGGTGCAGTGTCTTCATTAAATGATGTTTCAAATCACACACTTTCTTTAGGACCAGTACCTGGTGCTGTAGTTTACTCGAGTTCATCTGTACCTGATAAATCAAAGCCATCACCACAAAAGGATCAAGGTACTGTTTTTTGAAAGACAGAATCATTGCTGAAAACTCCTGTATAAATGCTGCCAGTGGGTTGGTAGTTTCATAGAGGGGCTTAGTTTTGCAAGATACATTGTCTCCTGTGTGACCAGCAGTGTTGTATTATCTGATGGGTTTCATTTTCCCCTGTAACTTGTTTGTGATTAACAAATACAGTGTAGCAGGGTACTTTATTTTTTAGTTACCAGGATATTAGTAGTTTCTTTTATTCCTAATTTTTTGAAGGATAAACTTTTATATTGGTGAAAATTAAGATAGGCAAGCATTGCATTATCTTGTCAGTTAACTGATAGTTATTATAGTTCCCTAGATGTGTGGATGTCTGTCTTCTAAAAATTTAAAGATTTTTTTTTTTTTTTAGAGAGATTTTTGCTATAGGGTGCGTGCACTCACCAGACAGACAGAGAGAAACATAAAGTAAGAAATCACCCCCCAGGGAGGATGGTCACGCCGTAATCCCTTCTCCTCCATTCTCCTCTTCGGATCTTGGGCACGCATGCACACGCGCCCGGCGTGAGTTTTAAGCCACCGGGTCCGGGATGCAAACCGCAGTCGACTATGTGGGAGTCCAGCGACATAGCCATTACGCTAACTGCTGGTTCCCAAAATTTAAAGATTTTAAAAAAATGATTGTATTTTAACACCCAGGATACCAGTTAAAAATTATGAGTAGTAATTAAGCTCTTCAAAACGGAGCAAATATAAATGTTACATTTGTTAAAACAGAATAAATCTTACATTTCTTAAACCATACAGATAAGTGAGACATTGACACTTTTAGTTTGTATTTATAACTAAGACTTGGATCTGATGACTCAAAGATTTGAAAGGTAGAATTAGTTCTTACTTAGAACATTGTTTGACTTAGAATAATTTGACTCTTACATTGTTTTGAGTCCTCTTAGTAAGTTTGATATTGTGATGTGTTAGTGGGTGGTATGATTTGCCCAAGGTGTTTTGGATGGGAGTAAAGTTTATATGACAGAACACAACAGCTTAATTGAATGTTATACACAGAGGTTTAAAGTTCTGTTGCTACTTCCCCCCCAAGACTTTCCCATAGGACAACTTTCTCCATAGGCCCTAGCCCCTGTCACGTTGCTAGGGCTCTTTGTCACCCCTAGAACGTAGCTCATATCTCCCTGCTCTCACCTTTTTGAGGACATTGTCTGCTGTCTCTGGATTCATTTCTCTTTTTCCAGTTTTGCTCTCTATTCTCCATTAGGCCAGATCTACCTTGGCAGACTTAAATAATCTTTAATATATCTGAATAGAGAATCATCTATAGGACATTTCAGCCTTTCCTGGCACTGAGAATCTGGTCAGCCTTTGAAAAGTTAGCCTTACTAGTGGTGATTCTAAACTTTTTAAAAATAAATTATTCCTTGAGTTTCACCTAAGTTCTACCACACTTAGTTATTAATCTGTCTATAAGTCTTAAAAATAGATAAAATGTCTGGGCCATGTGTAGTGCACTCATAAGTGTGTAGAATAGTTCCCTGCAGCCTTAGTTCAAGTCAGTTTCTTTAATGGTAAAATGGAAATGACATCAGTACTAACCCTTGGAATCAAGACTGTGTAACACCTACTAAGCTCTGAATAAGTGAGATGGTAAGGACGATGGTGATGATAATGATATTGAATATAAGCCTCCTAAATAAATAAATAAAAGCATCTATAGCAAATGTTACAGAGAATTGACTTATCCTGTACTTTCTATTGACTTAGTTGCTATTCATTTTTTTTTTTTTCAATTGCCCAGGATGTGTATGCTCCAGAGAGAAAGCAAGCCTGTGAGACAGTGTACCCCCAATGGGGTGTGTTCATACTGCAATCCTTTTTCCTCTGTTTCTCTATCCTGCCAGGATTTTGGGCATGCATGCATATTTGCCTAGGCTGTTTTCAAGCCACTATGAACCATACTTGGCCATATGATATCCAGATTCTGCTGCACAGTGTTTAACTGCTGTGCTGTAGGACTGGCCCATTATTATCATTTTAAAAACTTTTTATTATGAAAAAATTTTTAAGTAAGTATAAAAGAGTAATTATAATAAACTTTCATGTTGCTATCAGCCAACTTTGATATTTATTAACTCATGGCTAATTATATCACATCCACTGAACCTTACCCCATCATTTTAAAGCAAATCTAATACTTTATATCTAATCTACTCTTTTCTAAAAACGGAAAGTATCTTTGTTCTTTTCTTTTCTTTTCCTTTTTGCTGTAGGGTACATGCATTTACCAGAGAGAAAGAGAGAGACAAAGAGAGGGCGAAGTGAGAAAGCATGCCCCAGGAGAGATTGCCACACCTTAATCCGTCCTCCTTGGAATTTTGGGCACTCATGCACATGCACTGGGCCTAATTTTTCAAGCTGCTGGGTCCAAAACTCAACCTGAGTAGTTGGTCATGTGGTGTCCAGCACCTTAACTACCATGCCACCTGCTGACCCTGAAGGTGTCTTTGTATTAAATTAAACATGTAGTCAATATTCACATTTCCCTAGTTGTCATTTAAAACAAAACAAAACAAAACAAAAACCAGGTAAATCATTCAAAGCAATATCCAAATGAGTTCTTCACTTTGCATTTGGTGGATATCTCTTCTATTTCTTTTAATCAGTAACTTTTCCTACTTTTTGTTCTTACAGGATATATATTTTTTTTAATTGAGGAAATCAAATAATTGAGTTCTCACATTCTGGGTTCTGGCTCCCCCCCCCACCCCCATAGGATGTGTGTGTGCTCACCAGAGTTAGAGAGTGAAAGTGAGAAATAACCCTCCAGGGGATGGCCACACCACAATCCCTTCTCCTTATCCTCCTCTCTGGATTTTGAACATGCATGCACACATGCTCAGTATGATTTTTAAGCCACTGAGGCCAGGGTTCAAACCAAAGCCAGCCATGTGGGAGTCAAATGTCCTCACCACCATGTCACCTGCTGGTTCTGTGAGTTCTGTCTTTCAATATGTCCCTTCCTCTCTCCCCTGTATTTTTGGCAAGCTGGTAATGAGCTAGAATCTTAACCAGATTAAGGTTTGATCAAGTGTTGCTATTTATTTAGCTTCAGAAGCACTCAGTGGTTTGTTTTAAATTATTTGTTGTTTCCTCAGCCCTAGGTGATGGCATTGCTCCTCCACAGAAGGTTCTTTTCCCATCTGAGAAGATTTGTCTTAAGTGGCAACAAACTCATAGAGTTGGAGCTGGGCTCCAGAATTTGGGCAATACCTGTTTTGCTAATGCAGCATTGCAGTGTTTAACTTACACGCCTCCTCTCGCCAATTATATGCTCTCACATGAACACTCCAAGACATGTAAGTGTTCTGTATTATGTTATGTTTGTTGTATGGTGTTATGCTAACCTAGTCTCACTTTTTTTTTTCTCATAATTGAAAGTGAAGAATTAAGCAAAGCGTTAAGGGATCACTATGAAGTAAGTTGGTGTATTCTTTTAGAAACCAAAGACCAGAACCCTTAGGATTTATATTTAGGTTGCATAAAAAGCATTTTGCACTTAAATTGACCTGTGACAGTATTTAAAAAGGAATATTTTATCAATATTTGGTATATTTGCTGATTTGCTATACATGCTAAAAAAATATGATGTAAATGTCTAACACTAACATCTGGGACAAGCAGGGTTAAAAAATTTTGCCTCACTTGGCATTCATACTTTTTTGGAAAACTTGATTCATTTATTTGGCCTGTCAGCCTTAGAGCAGAGGAACCTTCTCACCAATGCCCCTCAACCACCTGAAATTCTTACAGGATTTTCCCTTTAGCATTTCTGAGCTCCGTCTTCAACCCACAGGGCAGGAAATCCATTATAACATATCAGAATGTCTAATTTAGTTAAGTGGAAGTCCATTCAGTGATCAGGTATCAAAATTCAGAATTTAAGAATTTTGTTTTGAGGTTTTGATCCTCTACATACATTGTAAATAGTCTTCATCCTTTATAAATGAAATAGTCTTCTTGATCATTTATCTAAATTCAATTCTCAAATTCCTATTTGTATGTTTTGTGCTGTTCATTAATTATGAGGTTGGGAACAAGCTAATTGATTTCTTTGTGAATAGATTTTTTCTTTTTTAAAAAAATTGCTATAGGACATGTATACTTGCTATACAGAGAGAAGGAGAGAAAAAGAGAGACAGTGAGAAAGTACTCCCCCAGTGGAGATGGCCATACCACAATTCCTTCTCCTCCGTTCTCCTCTCAGGATTTTGGACATGCACACATACTCTGTGTATTTTTCAAGTCACCAGATCTGGAACTTAAACCATGTAATTTGCTATGTGGGATCCACCCACCTTTTTTTTTTTTTAATTTGATTTATTCATTCATTCATTTATTTTAATTTGACCACACACACACACACACACACACACACACACAGAGAGAGAGAGAGAGAGAGAGAGAGAGAGAGAGAAGTGAGAAAGCAAGCTACTAGGTCCAGGACTTGAACTGTGATTGCCCATGTGGGAATGTCCAGTGCCTTAACCACGATGCCAATTGCTGGCCCCCGGATCCAACCACCTTAACCACTAAACCACCAGCTGACCTGAATAGTTCTTTACTTAATGGAGAATTTAAACTGTCCTTTCAAAACTAGCTATTCCCCCCAAAAAGAGCTAAGTCGTGCTCATAAAGAATTTAGAGGGAACCAGCAGTTAGCGTAATGGCTATGTCGCTGGATTCCCATGTAGTCAACCGCGGTTCGCGTCCCGGACCCGGTGGCTTAGAACTCACGCCGGGTGCATGTGCATGCGTGCCCGAGATCCCGAGAGGAGAATGGAGGAGAAAGGATTGCGGCATGACCATCCCCCCTGGGAGGTGATTTCTCACTTTCTGTCTCTATGTCTCTCTCTGTCTGGCGAGCGCATGCGCCCTGTAGCGAAAACCTCTCCAAAAAAAAAAAAGAATTTAGAAAGTTTAAGTCCAGCCAGTGGTATGGTGGCAAGGCAGTTTAAGGTGGTTAAGCACATGGCCTATCACGTGATTCAAGTCCTGGACCCAGCAGATTAAAAAACATGCTGGGCACTTGTGTGTGTCCAAAGTCCTGAGAGGAGAAATGGAGGGGAAAGGATTGCAGCATGACCACCTCCTGTGAGGAATGTTTTCTCTCTTTCCTCCTCTCTCTTTCCTCCTCTCTCTTTCCTTGTCTCTCTCTGATGAGCATACATTCCTCTTCAGCAAATTAAGAAGGAAAAAAAAGTTGGAAAGTACAGGGGGAAAAAAAAACAACAAAAAAGAAAAATCACCAGAATCTTAATCACCTGGAGATGTTTGTTATGCCTAGGGTTTTCTTTTCTCTCTCTCTCTTTTTGTTTAAGATTTTTTTGCTATGGATGTGTATGCTCACCAGAGAGAGACAGAAGGAAATTGAGATATTATCACCTAGGGATATGGTCATGCCACAGTCACTTTTCCTCCATTCTTCTCTTGGGATTTTGGGCCTGCATGCACATGTGACTGGCATAATTTTCAAGCCACCTGATCTGAGACTTGAACTGAGATTGGCCATGTGGGAGACCAGTGCCTTAACCTCTGTGACACCTGCTGGCTCCAGCTTTTCTGTTATTTTTATTTTTTTTTCCTTTTGAAGGTTTTTGCCATAGGGTGTGCACCCTCGCCTGAGAGAGACAGAGAGAGCCAGTTAGAGGGAAAATGAAAAAATCACCCTCCCACCCCCAGTGGGGATGGCCACACTGCAGTCTCTTCTCTAGTCTCCTCCTGGGATTTTGGGTATGAATGCACATGCATTCTGTATGAGTTTAAAGCTGCTGGGTCCAGGACTCAGACCACTGCTGGCCATGTGAGAGTCTGGCACTTTAACCACTATGCCATTTGCTGGCCCTTCCTTTTTTTTAAAAAAAACCAAAAAAACAAAAAAACCATAGATTTATTATTTTACAGTTTGTTGATTGATTAATGACTAATTTGACCAGAGAGGGATAGAGTGAGAAAGATAGAGAGAGGGTAAATGAGAGAGCAGGCCACCAGATCTGGGACTCGAACTGCAGTAGGCTGTGTGGAATCCATTGTGTGGGAATCCAGTGCCGTCAACCACCACGCTACCTACCTGCCCTTTTTTTAACAAAAATTTTAGCAATTTGTGCAGGCTCTCACCGGAGAGACGCAGAGAGCAAGAAAATGAGAAAGCATCCCACTAGGGGCAATGGCCTCTCCACAGTCCCTTCTTCATTCTTCTCTTGGAATTTTGGGCATGCACACACACATACCTAGTGTGTTTTTCTTTTTCTTTTCTTTCTTTTTTTCAGGAGAGGCTTTTGCTATAGGGCGTGTGCGCTCACCAGGGAGACAGAGAAAGACAGACAGAAAGTGAGAAATCGCTCCTGGGGGGATGGCCACACCATGATCCCTTCTCCTCCATTCTCCTCTTGCGATTTTGGGCACACACGCACATGTAACCAGGTGGGATTTGAAGCCACTGGGTCCAGGACTCGAACCATGGTCGACTTCGTGGGAGTCCAGCGACATAGCCATTATGCCAACTGCTGGTCCCCCTAGTGTTTTTCAAGTTGCCTGGTCTGAGACTCGAATCATGCAGTCGGCTGTGTGGGATCCAGTCACCTTAACCACCATGTTTTCAGCTGGTCCTCACCAAGGGGATTTAAATTACAAAATGAATGTTTTGTTTGCTCTCATTTTCTCCCTTTTTAAGTAGATAATTTCATTCCTCATAGACAGCTTTCCTATCACTTTTGTGTTTAAAAGAAGTACGGTGTGGTATGAATGAAAGCCACACCTGGCATCCGGACAGCAAGAGAGATGACTAGAATTAGGTACTTGTCTTTTATGTTATTGGTAGTCTTCTCTCCACCACCCACCCCCAGCTTTATTAAGGTATAATTGAGAAATAATAAAGAATATCAAGTTAAAATATGTAACTTTATTTGACATTTGTAAGCATCCGTGATACCATCATCACAACAGTTATGATACTGAATATATTTATCACTTCTAAAAGTTTCCAAATATCCCTCTGAAACTATTCCTTCCACCCCTTCCCTTAGACTTATCCCCAACACCCCGGGAAACCATTGGTATGCTTTCTATATCTCTAAATTAGTTTGGTTTTTTAAGAATGTTGTATATGTGAAATGATCAAATATGTATTTTTGTTTGTTTTCTATTTTGCTGTAGGGTGTATGTGCTCACAAGAGAGAGAGAGAGAAAGTGAGAAATCACACCCCAGGGGGATGACCATGCTCCAATCTCTTTTCCATTCTCCTCTCTAGATTTTAGGCATGCCGGTACACACACCTGGTGTGATTTTCTTCTTCTTTTTTTTTTTTTTTTTTTGAGATTTTTACCTTAGGCCACATGTGCTCACTGGAGAGAGAGAGAGAGCCAGTGAGAGAGAAAGTGAGAAATCATCCCTGGGGAGATGGCCATGCCACAATCCCTTCTCCTTTCTCCTCCCAGGATCTTGGGCATCCATGCACATGTGCCCAGCATGCGTTTTAAGCCACCAGGTCCAGAACTTGAACTGTGGTCAGCTGTGTGGGAGTTCAGCAACGTAACCAGTACACTATCTGCTGCCCCCTCCCCCTACATGATTTTCAGGCTGCCAGGTCCAGGGCTTGAACCATACAGTTGGTCATGTAGGATCCAGCGTCTAAAGCTGCTGGCTCATAAAGTGTGTATTCTTTTGCTATCTTGCTTCCTTCACTCAGCATAATGATCCAGACATTATTATTCCTCTTGTTGCATATAGCAGGGCATTTCATTGCTAATTAGTATTCCATTGTGTGAATATACCAGTTTGTTTCTTCATTCACTTACTAATAGACTTTGGATTATTTCCCATTTGCGGCCATCACAGATTTTTAAGACACTATATTTACAAACAAGTCTTTGTAAAGGCATATTTTCTTTTCTCTTCTGTAAATATTTTTGAGTAAAATAGTTCAGTTCTATGGTAGTTGTGCCTAACTTTTAAGATACTTGCAAAGGGGGGAACCAGCAGTTAGCGTAATGGCTATGTCACTGGACTCCCATGTAGTCGACCGTGGTCCCTGTCCCATCCCAGGTGGCTTAGAACTCATGCCGGGCGCGTGTGTGTGTGTGCCCAAGATCCCGAGAGGAGAATGGAGGAGAAGGGATTGCTGTGTGACCATCCCCCCGGGGGGTGATTTCTCGCTTTCTGTCTCTCTATCTCTCTCTGTCTGGTGAATGCACGCGCCCTATAGCAAAAACCTCTCCAAAAAAAAAAAAAAAAAAAGATACTTGCAAAGGGCTGTCAGGTGGCATGGTGGTTGAGGGTGCTGGACTCGCACATGACTGA